AAGTCTGGAATGAACAAATTCATAGACCATTTGACGAGTTGAAAAAGGCAATCAGAAGTTCAGTCTACAAAGCACAAATGTAGAATTTAGTATTACTGCTAGACTAGAAAATTCCATGAATTTTGTTGCTGCAAATAATTGACCAAAACCCCAACATAATAACGGAGTCCTTTAAAATGATGGAAAGCGGAGGATATTCGATATAAATAATTTAACTTTCGAAATTATTGCAGAATTTTCAATATATTCCATATTCCATCGACCACATGTTCGTTTCAGACCGAATAATAATTTTTACCTAAATTAATAGGCACGAAACAGTTTCAAATTGCGAGAATCAACATTGGAATTAGTTGATACTTTGTGCATAATATAGCTTTAAATGTTCGTATAAAAGTAATCAAATTACGGTTTAATCTCTTCAAATGCACCCAAGCATTTGTACACACGTTAATAATTCCACAGTTAGCTCTAGATCGGTGCAAATAGAAGTTAACGGACTTTTATCATCCATTAGTATTTTACGACCGCGTAGCTAACTGGGAATTTAATCTTTTAATTATGGAGGCCTGCTCTTAGAAAGTAACGATCATACATTCTTTTATTATGCCCGGATATTATTGGGTTCATGTTTTATGGTTCACCCCATATATTCTGGACTATAAATTCATTTAAATTCAATTTAATTGGAAATTCCACATCCAAAGCAAAAACCCCGACTGGAAAAAGAATTGATTATAAATTGTCGGATGAGAGAGAATTTGTACTTATGCGACATTTTCCATTAATCTATGGAATAGATCTGATGCTATCCATTTTATATTTATCTATGCCTTTCCAAGAGAATATCGTTTCACATAGGATTTGCCCGTAAACATTCTATTAGGTTTTATTTTACAGCTTAGATCCAACTAGTGTATAAGACCAAGTGGAATTTAAGCCGATAGCTACTCAAATCTTTGGAATAAAGAAAAATAGCACCATAAAGTAGATCGTATCTTTAGCCGTGAAACATTGATAGAAAGCGTAAGAATAAACCGGGATATAACTGTCACGGATTGCGATAAAAAGAGTAAAATTATATTTTGTTTTAAGGGCTTTAATGTGGAAGTTTATTGAATTTGCTTCCGATTAAATCTCACAAAATAAATATGATTAGTAGAATATGACAAGCTACATATTGCAACGAAAAATGCACTTAACAAATGTGTTATAAACCAGGCATGATTACACTAAATGTCTGTCTGATTGAGCGTAAATTTGCAGCAACAAACGTTTAATTGGCAGTTGACAGCATTTGAATATTAAACGCCTTCCTAATTTTCGACATATCAAACGCGAATTTTCCCGAACAGAATGAATGTTTCAAAAATTACCCATTTTATTAAATTCCCGGCATTGAAATATTCAAAAGCTTTTAAATATCCGTCGACCCACTACGTATATTTTCATGGAAATGTTATAGCCGATTTTAAAATTTACTCTGATAGATCGATCGCTATTTAATATCGTTTAATAGGACATATTTTTAATTTTTTTAATAACGTAATATATATATCAGCATTTAATCCAACTTCGACACGGTATTAAAATCTCGTTAAATGACTGATGCGTTAAATATGATTCATTGCATATCAATGTCGATTTACAATAATTATCAACTTTAAAATACTGTCAATGATTTTCTACCATTATTTCATCGTTCTAATGTGTCTCTCTTGCTAAAATCTCTAACGTTAATTGTTCTTTCTAAACTTAGCGTTCGAATTACATGAAACAGCAAGTATCTAATTAATTTCAGTTCCTTTGTATTTCAAATGTTATGGTAATTTCCCTTATCCCCGGAAAGGGAACAGCTAGTCTCTAATTACCGAAAATTCTTCAATTACAAGACTAGGAAAGGGATAAACATGAGACGGCATTCAAGTAAAAAATTAATTCTCATTTGCTGATTCGTGTTAATTTGTCTTCGCAGTCATTGATTGCTTGCTACAGGGTTGTCACGTTCTAAATGAGCCGATTAGTTTAGGTTACCGTATTAAGGAAAATTGGGGTCAAAACCGGCGTAGGCAATAATAGACGTAAATTCCTTTAGGATTTGATTCCATTATGACCCCAAATTACTAACCTACCACTTGTGGCTTTCCTTAGAAAAAAATTAAGTTAAGAGAAAAAAATTTAAGAGTAACTAATGGAATCATGGCCGTGGTAAAAAAACGGTCATCTCGTTTATTTACAGAGTGGTCTTAAAAAGTAAAGTTTTTGGTATTGCAATAGTATTTTTTCTTTTGGAACCAATTAGCCAAATGTAAGGTACTTGTTGGAGCTGAAACTCTGCAGTCGACTTCAGAAAAAAATGCATAAATGAAGGAAATATTTGAAAGTAAACTTCATTTAGTTGAAAATCCTCCAGAATCATAGATTTCCGGGGCAAATCTGATTTGAATTAATTTCCTATGCAACTCTGTATACCGAATTTTCGTCTCAAATTCTCTATGAAGTAGCAAATAGCTCTCTAGCAAATAGTTGATTATCTGAAAGAATGGCCTTAAAAAATCCGTTACGGCCTGTTTGGTTATGGAAAAACTTATTTTGCCAACTAGGAGCATGTTGAACTTTCCGAAAATTTGCCACCTTGTAGAAATTTTATCTACCGTGCTTAATTTTTACCAAAACTCTTGCTAATAAAACACAAATGGGGCTCAATAACGCTTCAAACAAAACGAAATCGCCTGAAGCAATCAGAAGTGAGCCACTTCTAAAGTTAGACCAAATTTAGAAGTGTCTAGTTTTTTTGACAAGTTTAGATCCAAATTTGTGCAGGCTTTTGTTAATATAATTAAATATCGGTTTTTATTCCATAAGTTTCAAATGGTAAAATTACGTCGATCGAGTTCTTTGTTTAGGAATTGGATACTCATTTTGAAACACATGTATTCCTTTGTCGTTCAAAAATAGATTTTAGAAACAAAGCCCCGAAAACCCACAAACGATTTCACGTATCGGAAAAAGCTTTTAATGCCTGAATATGAAATGATAGACAAACGTTCCCTTGGTTTAAACGTCAAGAGTTAATAGATGATTTTTGAACAAAAACTTGGTGACCAAGTCGTTTTGGAAAGCGTTTCAGAAGCGAGTTAAAAATGAAGTATGTATTACATTTTTCATATACGCCCGACGACTAGTTCCATAATATGTTGCCTTTAAAGGCAGAGGTTAAGCCCTAAAACATCGTAAAACTCTTTTACATTTTTAATTTTCTTCTTTACTTTACGAGCAGTGTGCTTTTTATAGACCTTAATAGTGGCTTTTACTCTATTATTAGGACTATCGATTTCTCACTTTTATGACAGTGTCATTGTATAACTTTGTTTTTGTATGGAATTTTATGAGAGCAATGCCAGCCAATAATGGTTTATGTAGAGCGTCCCAATGCCGACGCCTAATGATGATCATCTACTTAATTGAACTGCGGCCGCAAATAAGAAATTTATAATACGGCTTGAGGTATTTTTATGTAAGTTAACATGGCATGTATCCTAAATTACATGCCCGAACAAACGATACTGGCTGTATAATTCAAACCACAATCACAAAGGCCAGCACTGCGCTCCCCAAGACTTGATTAATTTTCCTCGTGTCGGAAGAAGCCGAAAACCAACTCCGTTTCTAGACTAGGCTGCAATATTCTTAAGCAACGGTCTACAAGGGACAAAGAAATATTATTAACATTAATTTTCCACGGCAGCTAACCAAAACAGAGCGAATAGGTTGATGGGGCCTTTAAAGCCATAGTTTGACCATATGTTCAATTTTCGACGCAAACACTGCAGGCGTATAAAGTCTAATGCCCTTTCGGGCCTATAATGTCGTATGCAGCTACGTAAAAGCTCAGGAAACTTCACCGGTAAACAAATTATTTGCTAAAGGCGTCAGCTATTTGCCAAAGAAGCTGGAAGCGCAGTGGGAAAGCAGAATGCCATTTTAAGCTTTGGGTTCTTTGATCATAAATACATATTATGTAGTAAAATTCCTAACAAGTACTATGCTGAATTTTTGTCGCGTCCTGGGACTTTTGTTCAAGTTCATGAATTGTTTTGCTTCATTAGTCGCGTATCATTTCCCGGAATTTATATAGGAAACATCGACCAGTTCCCAATTTCAAAAACTGAAGCCAAACTAAGGCAGTAAAACCCAATTAATATTCTTATTGGGACATTGTGGAAAAGCCCTGGTAATACTGTAAACAAACTACTTGCTCAAGGCGTCGGATATTTGCTGAGGCTCCTAAATTGGAATCGCAGTGGGTAACGAGTGAAATACTTTTCCTTATGTATATGCCATACTGGAGCGAATTACAATTTGATTGAAATCGAAAACTCTTTGCAATTATTCCGGGAATTGCGTAGGGAAGTTCCCCTCTCAAACCCACTTAAGCAAAGAAATTGTGCTATTAACATTTGAACACCAAAGCGCCTAGTTTCGGCCCTTTTAAATATTACCTCAGCTCTAAGCTCTTCTGTTCGAAGAGCTTAGAGCTGTTCTAAAGCACATTTCCAGTAAGCTTTACTGCTTCCTTTCACAATTTTATTTGAATACCAACGCAAAAACTCTTTTCGGTTAAACTAGAGAAAACACAGGCAGCTGTTACTTAAAGAAACTTTCTGGAAACTCCTGCGGAACAGCAAGCATGGCTTGTATTGTTTTTAAACTTAATTTCAAATACGAGTCGAGTTGTTGTCAATCAGGCATGTGAATTCGTCTGATCGATAACGTCGCTTTGCGTGATTTATCATCGGTGTGCTTTTGATATTCACAGGGGATCGTAGTATTCTACAGATTGGTTTGTCTGTCCTTCTATTAGATCTGTTTTTTTTTTCAGTGATCTGGTTAAATTAAGTACGTTTTTCTCCGCGAATGTCTCTTTCGGGACGAAATTACCTATTAACGAAATTCTTCCACCGCTTGAAAATATTAACGACCCTTTATTGATATTTCAGTTACCCTACATACTCGATGTGAAGTATGGACCTGGAAATAAAGGGACGCTTCTACCACCCCAAATGAATATTTCATCAAGCGGCTATATACCGACATCTGTGCAGACGTTTAGGTTTGTATTTCTAACTGTTACTACTGTTCATTGGGCAAACTGATACCGAAATTCGATTTGATTTCTTTGAGTTGACAGCCAATGGAGGGAGCGGAAATTAAATTTTTATTTTTAAATTATCAGGAGCCTTTGATGATGTCATTACACTAATTATTAATATTTCGCTTCCTAAAGCCTCAGCTCTCAAATTTAAGTAGTTATTTCCACAAACGATTGGCAAACAAATTGTCTCGGTAAGGCAAATTATTGTTATGCCATATTTCCATTGCCATTTTCTAGCGCAAATAAATTAGCTATAATGTTCAGTTAAGACATGCCCAAAGCTCTCAAAACAACATATTACTATGTGTATTACAATGCTGTCTCAATCTAGTAATTTATCAAACGGTATTACCTTCTGAGGTATTAGTGTGTTTAAAATGCCCTGGCTGCAATATAAACGGTGTGTCATACAAGCCAAAATTATGAAAGGTTGATTTCAGTTCAACATTTTCGTTAGAACAGCTTCACTTGTCGGGTCAAGACTTTCAAACGTGGTCTATTTAAAGAGTTAACCGGATTTTTTATAACTGAGCATATTTTCCTGCCAAGATTGATTAGCGTGTCTGAATAATGTCAACAGTTTTTCAAGAAAATTAATTCTTAATATATTTTCGTCGCAATGTAAACACAATATTTAATGGTAGGATTTCGTAAATTGCTTTTTAAGAAGTTTTTCGCTGCAAATGGAATTTTTAGCAGCTCCAGTGGCAATGCGATTCGAGAAAAAGGACTCGATCCGAAAACTAATAATTTCCGATTAAATGAAAATTTAATTTCTCAACTCAGATAATCAATATTTCGTTCACTTTTGGTATGCGGAAGGACTTTATTCGTTTTCGTATTTATATAGGGCATTTTCAGCTTAAACTGACACAGATGCTTCAAAAGAACTTATTATTTGTTAAGCTGAGTACTTAAAACATCCGTGATTTAAACACTACTAAAATAACAAATAATTCGTATTTGTTGCCTAAAACCTTCGTGGCTTAGACAGTGCTTATTCAACAAATAGTAGGTTTTTATTCCTAAAAGACCGTACTGAACTAGGGACATATTTCCAGATACAACCTACACAGAAGAATATTTTTAGAATTTGCGTAAGCATCTAATACGATATTCTGTTTAGTGACTGTGGGTTTTATGTTTCAGAATTACAATGGTGTGCACTGGAGTTAAAAGTGCAGAGATAACAGTGTTCATCCAATTGTATGTAAGCACTAAGGAGAAAGCGAATGCCACCGTGGTGAAATTCAAAAGAAACAAAGTCTGCCTCAAAGGTAGGAATTTATCTACATATATGTGTAAAGAGTAAAATATCAATTTTCTCTGAAAATTATTATTCAACTCGTTTCGACTAATTATTGGAAAGCTTACTGTTTGGTGGGATTTGCCATTAGCATTTGCACGCACGCACGCTGTTGGGGTTGAAAACACTTGTTGATGTCATGTTAGATTTGTTTTGACTCCAACGTTATAAACGACGCCATGTATGGGTTATTCTCCGGCCACAAGTCGCTATTTAATAAAGAATTATATATTGCGGAAATGAAGTGACGTAGGGTGCCGGCTTTTCCATTGTTTGATAGTTTCAATCTCCAGCTGGGCACATGGGCGATTGATGAGTGAAGCCAAAGAACTGGAAAATCGTAATTTAAGGGCGCTCGTCCGCTCTTGCGAAGTATAATTTTTCAACGCTTCAGACTAATAGTTGCAACGATTAGCAAATAAAAACAAAACATTGAATATTGAAGTCTCAAAAAGTATCTCAAACATAGAGATTTTCATAAAATTAATTAACTCCCCTCTATGGCACGGGTATGTCCAATATAGAGCGATTCTATTTTGAATATCGCTTTGATGTTGTCAACAGGGACGACGCTTTCTAGTAAGGTTTATTTAAATTTCTGCATTTCAAGTGACATCTCTCCCAGTCAACATTAAAATAGAAGATCTCCATTATTCAGTTAAATCATGACACTTGCAGGGGCCGTTCCCCATTTTAACCGATTTTATTTTCAAGTGAAAAATGTCAATTGATAAGAATCTAGTACATTTAATACATTTAATTTTCAAGTTTCTTGAACATTTACAGTGATTTCTTAGCTATTAATTCCATGCCAGATGGAGGGTAATTAGTAGTCGTTAAATTAAAGTCGTTTACACAGGATTTTCCGTTAAAAGCTGCGGGGCTTAACTGGCGTTATTATAAACAGCGATTTTATTGAGCCCATACTTGGAAAACGTCTTCCAGCTTAAGCCAATTTAAGCGAAAAAGTCGCAACATTTCTAAATAGATTTGTAGATATGTAGGTAAAAAAAGATGATTTTCAGCCATAACAAAGTGGGCGCTGTACAGAAATAACCTTTAACTTTTGCGTCTACTTCGGCGGTCAACCAACAATTCATTAATGAAGTAGATTACGGACAATAAAGGAAAAAATACTCATTGTCAAAAGGTTCCAACTCTTAATTGCAAAAGTTCAGAAACTTTGGCATGTTTCTATAATAATGCAACATTTTCACTTAAAAACTTTAACCGATTTTTCCGTTAAATGTAGGGCAATTGTGAGAAATACCTGAAGTTGGCGCTTCATATCAAGACTAGGCAATAATTGCTATGAAGTAAAGTTTTCCGAAGCTATCTATGTAATTAGCTTGAAGATATTTTTATGAAATCTCTAGAAAATGCGGAAATATAATTCCGAGCTTCCTTTACGATTCTAAATAAAGAGTAAGCGAGAAAGTTTTAAATGACTTCTTAGTTAAAGCGTCTTGGCAAAAGTAAACTAGTTTGTACAGAAAAAAGCTCGCCGTACCTGAGTTACGGTGTGTGAGGTAAACGGGCTTTAAATTATTTAAGCGGCACAAAATCCCTATCAATTTGACTGTCTTATAGTATACATTTCCCTAAGCGCACATTTGTTTTACGACCAACTTGTTGCAGTTATTCAAAAATTTACAATTCAATTTGGTTCTCGAATAGACTTCGTATAAAACACATACATTGAAACACATGGATTGATTACCTTTGCGACAAAAATTGCCCCTAAACCCAATTTTCAGCTTATCTACTACACATTTTGCACTTTTATGGCTTCTAACCGTAGTTGTTTGGTAGTCATTTTTTGTATTAATTTCAATTATTCTCCCTCGGACTAGCAATTGCTGTTTCAATTAAAACGTTCTTTGAAAGTATTTTCAATACCCTTTCGTTAAACCAGTTCAAAGAGGGTGAATATTTGTTGTTTTTGTCGGTCAAATACGTTTTCAATTATGCTTTTGGTTTAGCAAAATTCTCTGCGCTTTTGTCTATGTTTTATCCCCAATGCAAATGCGTTTATGCGTAATACCGTTTTAATGCGCTAATGGTTTTAAATCGGTTACTTTCTGTCGAGTTGTTTGTTTCAATGCAGCTGTAATTCCTGCTCTAAAACGTGCAAGATTGAATTTATATACAAACAGGCAATCAATTGAAAAACTTCTGAAAATCCATGGCTTGTCATTAAATTCACATTATTTGTAGCGGAAAAACATTTTTGTAGCGCTGCTTTGATACACGCCCCATATACCTATGAAATTCACTTGAAACATGTTTATAAGCTCCTTCCGTCCCCAGCAATATTAAAATTATAAGGACCCTTTTCAATTTTGACAGAGGGACACATTTCGCAAGGGTAACAGTCCTCAATCCTTGAGTGTATCGCCGTTGGAACGTTTTACCGGCAATTATTTTGTAAGAGTTTGTGATTTTTTCAATTACCATTTAGGTATCGGCTGGGGATCGCGAAATTTACCAAAACTCTTTGATTTCAATTTTTCAACCGAATATTCCAAAGCGGTGAATTTTTTATAACGCGAACCAACAGAGAGCTGTAAAGCCGAATATGTAATTTCAAATTTCCCACTTTTCAACTAATCGAAACTGCAGGCTGGTGGAAATGTTTATTACTTTTCAGGGTACTCGTAAGTGCGTTAGTGATTGTTGAATTCTTAATAAGTTTTGCTTTTGATGAAATTATTTGTTTTAGTGCTTCTGTAAATTTGTATTCTGAGTCTTTTAAAATCCTGCTAATGCCAGTAACAGTTTTATCCTGTAAACTTTGGTTAAATTTCCAGTCGTGGTTCTAACCGAAAACGGTTAAACTTTATGAAAATATCTCCGATTATTGGGTTTGCTAGTGATTAGAGCTGATTGATTCTCGCTAATTAATAAAAGCCGACTTGGCTTTAATAAATCTTGAATATTTATCTTAAATGTATGATGTGGCAATTAATTTAGTAAGTGCTGGAGGATTTCAGCCAAATCGAGCAATGTAAACTAATTGGCGGCTTTTGATGAAAAAGAAAAACGGGTGCAGGAGGGAACAATGCATACTTCGCTTATAAGTCCCTTTGTTTTATGTAAACATTTATTAATGCTGGGTATTTTAAATTAATCTCGGCAGGAGACGTTAAATAAGAATATATCGTCTCGGGCTAGATTTAATACTGTCGGAAGGTTTACTGTCCACTCTTGTCATTTGTGTGCTGAACACGTAGGTGAAACGACTTTAATAAAATTAAAGCGACAAATAACGCCATAAACAAGCCACAAAACGCCAGTAAATTTTAATAATCCTACCTTCATTAAACACCATTTAAGGGGTGTGTTTTATATGTTATATCGCCCGGCTAAAAAGAAGTAAAGACTTACAAAACGGATATTAAAACTCTATATTAGCTCGAAATAACAAAGCCACCGAAAGCGTCCATTCTCATTTTCACAGTTGCAATTTGTTTTTCCAGGTATTGGGAATACACAGAACGAGTCTATCCGGTTAAACCCCAGTTATTTCGGAAGTTCATCAGACTTCGCCGTCGCTTGTGTTTTAACTCTGATTGCATTGGCCCTATTTGCGGTCATAACTTCGGCTTATTACATAAAGACAAAAAAGAGGGAACAGGAACACACGTAAGTTGCGTTTTCCTTTAATTGAATAACGAGATCAGGTTACCAATTAGTTTTTCGATTGATTAATTTTCTTCGGGGATTTGTTGAGATTTGGAAACTAACTAGCCGGCAGTAGCCAGGATTCTTTCTGAATAACAAGGAAATACCCTCCACACACTTAAAGAAAGTTGACAGTTTTTCACTATTCGCCTCCCCTAGATAGCTGAAAATCTAATCTAATGTCAAAGGACTTTCAATTTCAAGAAGGGCGCTTCTTCTCCCATCACAGGATCGTTAATATGCTTTAAACCCCCAGCAAATAGACCCGTATTCCTTTTAGATACATGACAGCCCTCTATGACAGCAATCCCCACATGTTCTTGAGACCGGGATTCGGCAGGCCCCCAAGCATCGGCAGTGGAAGTTATGCAACTATTGACGACTTACAGAAGAATCCACCATCCCCTGCTCCATATGCTACCAGCGACTGCTGTCGCCATTCTGAGAACAACAGCAACTATCGTGTATCTTATTATGCGTCTTCACAAGTTATGCTGATTTCTCAGGTAAGTTTTTCCAAGAATTTTATATCACATTTTAAAGAGTTGGTAAACTCGGCTTTTGTGTGAAAACTGAACTCAAATTACTTCGTGACTGGGGTTTTTAATTCTCTAACCAGTGATATGAAAATGATCACTTTAGCTCAAATTGTTCTGGAGGTATGAAGAAAAATGTGGCCCCTATTTAATTCTCTATCCAGTGGTGTAGCAATGAGACTCAATTCGCGCCTGAGGTATGAGCCAAAAAGCAGCGTGATGCTTGAAGCGATGTCCTAATCTTGTACCTTTTTTGCAAAAAAATCAGTTCCAATTTATTTACTATTTAGGATTTATTTTCGAATTCCAAGCGACGCATTGATTACGGCGTTTTAAGGCACTTGAGGAAATGTACATTAGGTATTCACTTTTGTTAAAAGCGCGTTTCAAATGCGCAATATTTAAATTTCGTGTTCTTTTTGTGTGACAATTGTACCAGTTGTAGATAAGTTCTATGTTGTTGAGGCGGATTCATTTTTTTACAAACTTCTTTTTAGGTATTTTGCCTCAAAAATGTTTGTCTTTAAAAAAGACAGAATTACCTCACGTCTTTTATTACAGATTGATAAATAGTGCTCCTATTTCGCAATAAGAACGAATTATGTATCAAAAAGTAATCAAGAACTATCACCTAGAGGGTATCCTGCGACACACTTAGGCTCAAGCTGTAAGAGAAAATTCCAATTAGTAAAGAAATTAATTTGAAAAATTACCTTGACGTTTCGATAGCTATTTTCTGCTATCGTTATCAAAAGAACCTAAATGAACCTAAAAAAAATTATATTAATAAATTGTGTAACAATAGTAGGATAATACAGTATATGAAAATTCGCTCTGATAATTCGTCTGTGCAAATTGTCAAGTCAATTGTCAATTGTCAAATTGTCAAACAAATTGCAAAGTCACATAACTGACAATTTGCACAGACGAATTATCAGAGCGAATGTTCATATACTGTATTATCCTACTATTGTTACACAATTTATTAACATA